CCCCAACTGGGACCCCCCAGAGCATCCTCGGGCCATTGGGACCCCCCCGGGACCCCCCCAACCCGGGGCTGCTGGGGGCTGTGGGGCTCAGCCCCATGGCGGGGTCCCCCACCCTGACCCCCTGTGTGTCTCCTCCCCACATCTATGGGGCAGGATGGGACTTGTGGGGCAGCTCCACCACGTGGGGCAGCTGTTTGTGACCATCTCGGGGGTCCCAGAGCGTCCTTGGGCCACCGGGACCCCCCGGCTGGTGGCTGTGGGGCTCAGCCCCATAGCGGGGGCTCCGATCTGACCCTCTGTGTGGCCCCTCCCCACATCTATGGGGCAGGAGGAGACTTGTGGGGCAGTCTTTCCAGTCTTTCCCCACCAGCTGTGACCACCCCCATGGTCCTAGATCATCCTCGGGCCATTGGGACCCCCTGGAGCATCCTCAGACCCACCGGGACCCCCCAGCTGGTGGTTGTGGGGCTCAGCCCCATAGCAGGGGTTCTGTTCTGACCCCCTGTGTGTCTCCTCCCTATATCTATGGGGTGAGATGGGACTTGTGGGGCAGCCTTTCCCCACCGACCATGACCACCTCCATGGTCCTAGATCATCCTCGGGCCATTGGGACCTCCTGGAGCATCCTCAGACCCCCCGGCTGGTGGTTGTGGGGCTCAGCCCCATAGCGGTGCCCCAGCCTGACCCCCTGTGTGGCCCCTTCCCACATCTATGGGGCAGGAGGAGACTTGTGGGGCAGTCTTTCCAGTCTTTCCCCACCAGCTGTGACCACCCCCATGGTCCTAGATCATCCTCGGGCCATTGGGACCCCCTGGAGCATCCTCAGACCCACCGGGACCCCCCAGCTGGTGGTTGTGGGGCTCAGCCCCATAGCGTTACCCCAACCTGACCCCTCTCCCCCCCCCAGGTGCTGTCCCTGGGGGCTGACGTGCTGCCCGAGTACAAGCTGCAGGCCCCCCGCATCCACCGCTGGACCATCCTGCACTACAGCCCCTTCAAGGCGGTGTGGGACTGGCTCATCCTGCTCCTGGTCATCTACACGGCCATCTTCACCCCCTACTCGGCCGCCTTCCTCCTCAACGACCAGGAGGAGGCCCGGCGCCACCACTGCGGCTACTCCTGCAGCCCCCTCAACGTGGTGGACCTCATCGTGGACATCATGTTCATCATCGACATCCTCATCAACTTCCGCACCACCTACGTCAACTCCAACGAGGAGGTGGTCAGCCACCCGGCCCGCATCGCCACCCACTACTTCAAGGGCTGGTTCCTCATCGACATGGTGGCCGCCATCCCCTTCGACCTCCTCATCTTCGGCTCCGGCTCTGAGGAGGTACCGGCCGTGGCGGGACGGGTGCTGGGTGGGTGCTGGGTCCTCGGCGGGGTGATGGTTGGGTGCCCCAAGGCTGGAGTTGGGTGTTGGGGTGGTGGCCACCATCCCCTTTGAGCTCTTCATCTTCAGCTCTGGTTCTGGTGGTGTCACCAGAGCCATGTCCTGGCTGGGAGGGGTGATGGTTGGGTGCTGTGTCCTTAGAGGGGTGATGGTTGAGGTCCCACGTGTGCCATGGTGGGTGTTGGGGCGGTGGCCACCGTCTCCTTCAACCTCCTCATTTTCTGGTGGTGTCACCAGAGCCATGTCCTGGCTGGGACCAGTGATGGTTGGGTGCTGGGTCCTCAGATGGTTGGGGTCCCACACGTGCCCCAAGCTGGGGTTGGGGGTTGGGGTGGTGGCCTCCATCCCCTTCAATCTCATCTTTGGCTCTGAGGAGGTACCAGCCATGGTGGGACGGGTGCTGGGTGGGTGCTGGGTCCTCGGTGGGGTGATGCTGGAGGATCCCACTGAGTCAGTGACCCCCCCAGACCACCCCACTGATGGGGCTGCTGAAGATGGGGTGCTTCCAGGATATCTGGGTGGAGGGTGACCTCCTTGTCCCCCCAGTCAGACCCACCGGGACCCCCCAGCTGGTGGTTGTGGGGCTCAGCCCCATAGCAGGGGTTCTGTTCTGACCCCCTGTGTGTCTCCTTCCTATATCTATGGGGTGAGATGGGACTTGTGGGGCAGCCTTTCCCCACCGACCATGACCACCTCCATGGTCCTAGATCATCCTCGGGCCATTGGGACCTCCTGGAGCATCCTCAGACCCCCCGGCTGGTGGTTGTGGGGCTCAGCCCCATAGCGGTGCCCCAGCCTGACCCCCTGTGTGGCCCCTTCCCACATCTATGGGGCAGGAGGAGACTTGTGGGGCAGTCTTTCCAGTCTTTCCCCACCAGCTGTGACCACCCCCATGGTCCTAGATCATCCTCGGGCCATTGGGACCCCCTGGAGCATCCTCAGACCCACCGGGACCCCCCAGCTGGTGGTTGTGGGGCTCAGCCCCATAGCGTTACCCCAACCTGACCCCTCTCCCCCCCCCAGGTGCTGTCCCTGGGGGCTGACGTGCTGCCCGAGTACAAGCTGCAGGCCCCCCGCATCCACCGCTGGACCATCCTGCACTACAGCCCCTTCAAGGCGGTGTGGGACTGGCTCATCCTGCTCCTGGTCATCTACACGGCCATCTTCACCCCCTACTCGGCCGCCTTCCTCCTCAACGACCAGGAGGAGGCCCGGCGCCACCACTGCGGCTACTCCTGCAGCCCCCTCAACGTGGTGGACCTCATCGTGGACATCATGTTCATCATCGACATCCTCATCAACTTCCGCACCACCTACGTCAACTCCAACGAGGAGGTGGTCAGCCACCCGGCCCGCATCGCCACCCACTACTTCAAGGGCTGGTTCCTCATCGACATGGTGGCCGCCATCCCCTTCGACCTCCTCATCTTCGGCTCCGGCTCTGAGGAGGTACCGGCCGTGGCGGGACGGGTGCTGGGTGGGTGCTGGGTCCTCGGCGGGGTGATGGTTGGGTGCCCCAAGGCTGGAGTTGGGTGTTGGGGTGGTGGCCACCATCCCCTTTGAGCTCTTCATCTTCAGCTCTGGTCTTTCCCCACCAGCTGTGACCACCCCCATGGTCCTAGATCATCCTCGGGCCATTGGGACCCCCTGGAGCATCCTCAGACCCACCGGGACCCCCCAGCTGGTGGTTGTGGGGCTCAGCCCCATAGCGTTACCCCAACCTGACCCCTCTCCCCCCCCCAGGTGCTGTCCCTGGGGGCTGACGTGCTGCCCGAGTACAAGCTGCAGGCCCCCCGCATCCACCGCTGGACCATCCTGCACTACAGCCCCTTCAAGGCGGTGTGGGACTGGCTCATCCTGCTCCTGGTCATCTACACGGCCATCTTCACCCCCTACTCGGCCGCCTTCCTCCTCAACGACCAGGAGGAGGCCCGGCGCCACCACTGCGGCTACTCCTGCAGCCCCCTCAACGTGGTGGACCTCATCGTGGACATCATGTTCATCATCGACATCCTCATCAACTTCCGCACCACCTACGTCAACTCCAACGAGGAGGTGGTCAGCCACCCGGCCCGCATCGCCACCCACTACTTCAAGGGCTGGTTCCTCATCGACATGGTGGCCGCCATCCCCTTCGACCTCCTCATCTTCGGCTCCGGCTCTGAGGAGGTACCGGCCGTGGCGGGACGGGTGCTGGGTGGGTGCTGGGTCCTCGGCGGGGTGATGGTTGGGTGCCCCAAGGCTGGAGTTGGGTGTTGGGGTGGTGGCCACCATCCCCTTTGAGCTCTTCATCTTCAGCTCTGGTTCTGGTGGTGTCACCAGAGCCATGTCCTGGCTGGGAGGGGTGATGGTTGGGTGCTGGGTCCTTAGAGGGGTGATGGTTGAGGTCCCACGTGTGCCATGGTGGGTGTTGGGGCGGTGGCCACCGTCTCCTTCAACCTCCTCATTTTCTGGTGGTGTCACCAGAGCCATGTCCTGGCTGGGACCAGTGATGGTTGGGTGCTGGGTCCTCAGATGGTTGGGGTCCCACACGTGCCCCAAGCTGGGGTTGGGGGTTGGGGTGGTGGCCTCCATCCCCTTCAATCTCATCTTTGGCTCTGAGGAGGTACCAGCCGTGGTGGGACGGGTGCTGGGTGGGTGCTGGGTCCTCGGTGGGGTGATGCTGGAGGATCCCACTGAGTCAGTGACCCCCCCAGACCACCCCACTGATGGGGCTGCTGAAGATGGGGTGCTTCCAGGATATTTGGGTGGAGGGTGACCTCCTTGTCCCCCCAGATGATGACATGGATGGGGTCCTTTGGGTAGATGCACCTCTTGGTGACCCCCATGTCCCCCCAGACAATGACATTGATGGGGTCCTTTGAGTAGATGCACCCCTTGGTGACCCCATGTCCCCCCAGATAATGACATGGATGGGGTATTTGGCCAGATGCACCCCTTGGTGACCCCCAAGTCCCCCCACATGATGACATGGATGGGGTATTAGGCCAGATGCAGCCCTTGGTGACCCCCATGTCCCCCCAGATGATGACATTGATGGGGTCCTTTGGCCAGATGCACCCCTTGGTGACCCCCATGTCCCCCCCCCAGACCACCACGCTGATGGGGCTGCTGAAGATGGGGTTCTTCCAGGATATTTGGGTGGAGAGTGACCTCCTTGTTCCTCCAGATGATGATATTGATGGGGTATTTGGCCAGATGCAGCCCTTGGTGGCCCCATGACCCCCCAGATGATGACATTGATGGGATCCTTTGGGTAGGGGCAGCCCTTGGTGACCCCATGTCCCCCCAGATGATGACATGGATGGGGTCCTTTGGGTAGGGGCAGCCCTTGGTGACCTCCATGTCCCCCCAGATGATGACATGGATGGGGTATTTGGCCAGATGCACCCCTTGGTGACCCCCATGTCCCCCCCCCAGACCACCACGCTGATGGGGCTGCTGAAGATGGGGTTCTTCCAGGATATTTGGGTGGAGAGTGACCTCCTTGTTCCTCCAGATGATGATATTGATGGGGTATTTGGCCAGATGCAGCCCTTGGTGGCCCCATGACCCCCCAGATGATGACATTGATGGGATCCTTTGGGTAGGGGCAGCCCTTGGTGACCCCCATGTCCCCCGAGATGATGACATGGATGGGGTATTTTGGTAGATGCACCCCTTGGTGACCCCCATGACCCCCCAAATGATGACATGGATGGGGTCCTTTGGGCAGAAGCACCCCTTGATGACCTCCCATGTCCCCCCCAGACCACCACGCTGATCGGGCTGCTGAAGACGGCGCGGCTGCTGCGGCTGGTGCGTGTGGCCCGTAAGCTGGACCGGTACTCGGAGTACGGGGCGGCCGTGCTCTTCCTCCTCATGTGCACCTTCGCGCTCATCGCGCACTGGCTGGCCTGCATCTGGTACGCCATCGGCAACGTGGAGGGGCAGCGCATCGGGTGGCTCCACTCCCTGGGGCAGCAGATCGGGCGCCCCCTCAACGCCAGCGACCCCCGGGGGGGCCCCACCATCAAGGACAAGTACGTCACGGCGCTCTACTTCACCTTCAGCAGCCTCACCAGCGTGGGCTTCGGCAACGTCTCCCCCAACACCAACTCCGAGAAGATCTTCTCCATCTGCGTCATGCTCATCGGATGTGAGTGGGG